GTCATAGAAAAATATGCGCCTTCCGACAGGAATCGAACCTGTATCCTATACGGAACCATCATATGAGCTTTCGGTTAGCAAGGTCGATTTTACTGTTTTAAAATTACAAATTTTCCATGATTTTCTCATGTATGTTGATATCTGCTAACCGAACGCTCCTCTATGGTGAAATCGGTAAAAGCACATCAGGCAATAAGACGGTTCCGTATAGGATACAGGTTTGATTCCTGTTGGAGGATGCATATTTTCTATGACAGTTTCTCGGATATTCAGGCCTGTAAATGTTGTTAATACTGCTTATTATAAGCAGAGCATTTACTTAAATATGTGTATTTAAAAAAAAGAATGTATAAACATAAAAAAATGTCTTCAAATAATTGTCAGACTGTCTCCATTTCATAATATATATATATATATATATATATGAATAAAAATGACAATAGGAAAACTAGTAATTGCTGAAGCGTTTCGTCCAATGAGGACTTTATCAAAGCAAAATACGAAAAAAATAAATAAATAAAAATAAATAATTGATAAAGTCCACATTGGACGAAACGCGTCAGCAATTACTAGTTTTTCTATTTTCATTTTTATTCATAAATATTGTCTTCTCTACTGGTTAAATCGGAGAAATTTTCATATATATATATATATATATATGTATATATATATATGAGAGAAAACACCGATGGGGTAAAACTCCACTGTTCGTAGCATTTAATTTTTTAAAAGTGCCCAATACAAAGTAGAGCTATATTTATTTTTATTATAAGAGATTAAAATAAAACATTTTGAAATCGGTGCACAAAAGCTCTCATGTTTCAATACTACGATCGCACTTCATCATCGATCGTAAGTAACTGGTCATTAAACGATTTTTAAGGAAATTTAAAAACAAAGTTTTACCTTTTTTCCGAAATTTAAAGGGGAGATATAAGGTCAGAATTAAAAATAGACTTGTGGGTATGTCTTGGTTAACCAGTTAAGAGTTAAATATGCACTAAGTAAAAAAGTAAGCTCATAAGGTAGAGATGGGTGAGTTATTTGTTTGATGTCATGATAAAACGAAACATAGATAGGTCATCATTGACGATTGCGGAAAATATGCCAGCGACAAATGTATCGTGATTGTAGACAAATATGGTATGTTGAATTTGTTGAAGGGAGGGGTATGTTAATCAGACGTAAAATTAACAGAATTTTAATTTTTTTATATTCAGGAACCTTCTTAAAGGGCCCTGTAGATAAATTAAAAATGTGGAACATCTATATACGATATTAATAATGCTAACGGGACGGGATTTCATAGTTAGATTTAAGCTGAATAAACTAAAGAAGCTAATTACCCGTAGAGGGGGGACAATTATATACTACTAAATTATGGCTATAAGAAATGGTAATATGTAATTTAAAAAAAAAGAACTATATTTTAAAGTAAAGATAAACTGTGTCGGCAATTTACAGTTAATTCCCTGCTTTAGTTTAACAGAGATGTTTTGTCAGTAAATTTGATTATTTAAAATTTTTCATGAAACGTAAGAAACACGCTTCATTTAAAGATTTACAAGTTGTAGTATTTTTTAAATATTTTCTATTTTACCTAAGGGTTCTATCAACTTTTGAATTCCAAAAATATTTAGAAAGGAACGTCCTATTAAGGGTCCCAGGTTATGACTAAATCTGTCAACGATAATGTGATTAAGCTTATCAGACAATATGAAAGGAACTTACTTAAAATAAACAAAACGTGTCTATGGTATTTAATGAAACATGCATCAATGAAAAATTGCTGCCTATATAGACAATATATATATATATATATATATATATATATATATATATATATATATTTACGCATATACACAATATGTATATATTTATTTATTTGCAAAGTATAATATAAACATGTTATAAAATCAGAAGTGTTGAAACTAAATGGCTATTTTTGTAGTGCTTTTATAACATATTTATTTTACAATTTTCGAATAAATGCTCTTCTCTGCATTGATCACTCCTATACTTGGGTATATTATATATATATATATATATATATATATATATATATATATATATATATATATATGTGTGTGTGTGTGTGTGTGTGTGTGTGTATGTATTATACAACAAAGTACAAAATGAACTCATATACGTTAGTCTTATTCAACCCCGATGTATGTGCACAAGCGTACTTCTCGCTGGTTGAAATAGACCTATCCCTACCATTTTTGATTTTGTTGTGTAATTTATATGCTATGTTATAATAAATACATTGAGCCCTTTTTGTGAATCAGTTTTAATATTTGATATTACTAGCATCTACTTGAATTATATACCAACGGATTTCTTACCTGTACTATATATATATATATATATATATATATATATATATATATATGCATTTCTTTGCAGACTGAAACGTATTTGTCTTTAGCCCTATTTTGCGCTAATATATCAAGGCTTTGTTAAACTTTATTAAAACAAAACATTCAGTCAATTGTTTAAATACACATTGAGTGAAACGGCTAAATTATTATCGGGGAAATAAATTCGTTGGAAATTATTTTACTCCATAAAATGCATTTCAATTTTCTTTTTTAATCATATCACCCCATGCAAGGCAGTAAAACCGCTAAAATGCAAGAGGTTAGTGAGTGCGAAGGAATAAGACAAAAAGACAAAACATTATTAAGGAGCAAGAACAATAGACGAGGAATCAGAAAGACAGTAGATAACGATTGATATTGCATTTAAATTTTTGAAGATCAAAGTTGGAAAGATTGAAGCCGGAAGATTGTTTCAAAAGCAGGAAGTCCGAGAAAAAAAAAATATAATTTATGGTTACATCTTGCCAATTCAAGAGAAAGTTGATGAGAGCTTACCGCCATTCTATACCTTTTCAACTTCAAAATGATAATAATCAACTTCAAAATGGACTTATTTTCAAGTAAAAAATTAATCAACTTCAGAATGGATTAATCAACTTCAAATTGGATCAAACAACTTCAAAATGGATCAATCAACTTCAAAATGGAACGATCAATGTATAGTCCTGCGCTTAAATTCATGGAGTAATTTAATTTAATAATGTGGTGAATTCATTTTAATATCAAAATACATTGAAATATTTTTACTGTGGAACTTATTGACAATTGGTTTACTATAAAACCAATTACAAAATTGGAAATAATATTTACACTGAAAATACACTGTAAATGTTTACTATGTATTTTAAATGATTGCACTACAAAAGTTCATTGTGAATGTTTTTACGAAAATTCTTAGGAAATAATTTTTCCATATAAATGCATTGTTAAATGATTTTATTATAAAGACATATTTCAAATAATCTTTACTATAAAAATTATTGCAAATGATTTTCCAAATGGAATGCCTCACAAATGAGTTTGCTATAAAATTGATTGAAAATATTTTCTGTAAAATATATTAATAATAATTTTTACGATAAAAATACATTGCAAATGATGTTACTGCGAAAGGCATTGCGATTAAGTTTTACTATTAGATACTTTGCAAATGATTTTGCTATAAAATATATTGCAAATGATCTTTACGATAGAACTATATTTCAGGCCTCAATGGGTAAAAATTATTAAGCACATACATTAATAATGGAAATACATTGGAAATCATTTCTCTTTAGAAAGCCCAGGTATAACAATACATAATGCGTTATAAATTAATCTACCCTCTCTCTCTCTCTCTCTCTCTCTCTCTATATATATATATATATATATATATATATATACTTACCTGGCTTATGTCAGAGGGTATCCTCCAGACGAGGCTCTGCCGAGGGGCAGCGTATCGTCTCGGGAAACTGAGTCCGTTTTTACGTGGTCTGTAGGGAATTTTTGCCCGAGCCTACGGGCTCGGATACCCCACTTTAAACTCGGCCTTGTGCCACATCTTGCTGCGTGGGGCAGTGGGTAAATAATTATATATATATACTATAAGTGACCTGGGTATCTATTGTAGAGTAGCTAGCACCCTTTCAGCACTGTACCAGATGGCCTGGCTCATAGCCTTAAATAGTCTATAATTAAGGACTTCAGCACTTGATTAATAACTTGATACTAAGCTGATTAATATTCGGACTGATCTGATTTCATTTCACTATACAGCATTTAACCCTCTTCTATTCCTTGTAAGTTGTCTTGTTAATTGTTTTGTAACATATTGTTCTGTGGGTTTTTTTTTGTATGTATCCATACTGATACTGGTGCTGAATAAATATATTAAACACTCATTCATTTCTGTCTATCATTCACCTCGACAACAGTATCTCGACGTGATGTAATGGTTAGCAAGCGTGCCTCGCTGGAATAATTTCGACTGAATAATGAAGTTGATCCTCACTGGGTACCCCATCCTTTCGGCGTTGTGCCACATCTAAGATACGCTTAGAAAATCACTAGGGCACCCGGCGTCATGTAATGGTCAGGAAGCTTGTATCTTTAAAACAATTACGACTGAGTAGTGTGTTTGATCCTCACTAGGTGCCTCATACTTTCGGTCTATTAGCACATCTAAGCAGCGCTTAGAAAATGAATATATTACAAGTGACCTAAAACCGATTGCTACTCGTCAGAAATTAGGTTTAGTTCAAATGTAAGTATATGGCTATTTTATGCATTAATATTTGTTTATATTCAGTTTTGGGACAGATATTTTCATATCTTCCATAACCTGTGCTTTTGTCCAATCTGTAGCCATAACTGATTTTTTTGTTTTTTACGGCTTATCAACCCATTTCAAGTTATTTAAAATCAGAAAATATTTTTAGATTGTAAGAATTTTGGTGGGAATAATAATTCTATTATTATTATTTAAGACATAGCCGGGGACAGATGACGTAGATTCGTACCTTTCCGAAAGCTATTTGTGTGTAAGGGAATATATGGACCCCAACGAGAACTGGGAATCGACTCTCCGATTAACAATTAAGATCCATTATACATTAAACTACCCGCACACCCAAGCTTACAGCACCTGGTATTCCCAAGTGGTCACCGATCTACGTACTGGTCAGGCTTGAGCTAGCGTAATTCCAGTGATCATACGGAAACCGGTATTTTAATATGGTGCGGCGTTAAGCTAGCTATAACATTGAAAACAAAATATGGAATATTAATTTCTTCAGTGTGCGAAATTCGAGGCGTAAAGACATTTCTGATACAATCGTAACCATAGAGCTAACTGCTTGACAGTTTTCATAAATGAGGACCCCCGTACCATTGAGCTACAAGGGTAAACTTAAGCAAAATTTTAATTCCATTGAAATCCTTCTATCACCGTTTGAGAAAGCTCGTGCCATTTGCAGAAGATGTGCATAGAATTCATTAACGCTTTTGAGAGGTCACGCATGATCTAGCAGAAGTTTGAAACTTTCATCTCTCTATAAAATACCCGGATGTAGTGAATGGAATTTTGCCAACCACACTGACAGCACATGGTTCGTAATAATAACTGACAATGAAGGACTTGACGAAAAAACACCAGAAGAGGCATGAATTTTGGATAGCCAGTCCACAGCTTCGAACCTGAACCTGATATACAACACTAAAATAAAATTAAAAAAAAATAAATCAAGCTAATCAGTTGCTTCTGTCAAAACTTATATACTGGGTGCAATGCGTAAATTTTCGCCATTTCGTATTTTTAATTTCGCGTATACACTTTACGCGATTGTGTCGAGTGTTCTTCAAATTCCAGCCACGTTAAACACTTCTGTCATTGTCATTTCTTTGTTTTACTGAAGCCAAGTAGTGTCTCTGATATATATTTTTCCTTTCCACGAACCCCAAAACGAAAGTGTCCATTATTTATGGGATATTGGCAAAGCGTAACGGTCGTGCGAGCTAACGAAGAGAGGGACGAGGAGAGTTATAATTGGATCATATAATAATTGTGATTGTCACACCCTTCGCTATTTCCTTAGTTTGCACGACCATCACGACCTGATAACTGTTTAATGTGGACGGGTTTTGAACTCGACATGCCAACCCCACTTTTCGCACCACCAACTAATATGCAACGCTCACAGTCCAACTTGTTTATTACAATACAAATAAAACATTGTAAATGTTACCACCTCTACCATGCTGGCTTTCTCACTTAATTACCAAAATAGATGAATTTGGGGAAAATAAATATTTCCTTCTGTGTTGATCCGCCGAATAATGTTCTATGAATAAAATGTTTCCATTCGAAGGTTGTCTTCAGCAGGTGTTCCAATTTTGGATGACCATCTATTCCGGTGTTTTAAAGAATTACACTAATGAAAACCAAAATCAATTTTCTGAAGGAGTGAAAAAGGCACCTAAAGTTGTTCCTTATTGAGAAAGAAACAAATTATTTCTGGAGAGAATAATGAATTTAAAACTATAAATGCCCAAGGCAGCTCTCGGTATACAAGATAAACGACTAACACTGGACAGATAAAATACAAAGGAAATTCCACTACATAACATTGACATTGTTTCATCCTCCAACTTTAAGGAGTTCATTTTTTTAAACAAAACGTCAACATCTGACGCGCAACTGGTTTAGATCTTGAACACCAGAAATCAGTATTAAAACAAACGCCAATGTCAAGTTGCAGTCATTTTTATGTTACCTCGGAGAATCAGACACGTACCTTTACAATGATGAGATATGGTCATAATAAATAAATAATTATATGATTATGTTTTTTCCAAGAATACATTCAGTAACTTTTAATAGATAGATATTTATGTCAGTGTTCGTCGCTTGAATCGAAATGGACTCATCTACGTAAAATAAAATAAAATAAAATAAAACCTCGTCAAAAGAGGTTAGTAATAAATGTTTCGTGAGCATATTCATAATTATCAAGTAATAATTGTTTGTTCGACGCTATTGTAGTGTAGTATGCACTCAACTGCCTCATGGGAAATAGTTGTAACTCTTTATAGTTTTGAGACGGTGAATAGCAGCAATTAAGAGGTGGTTCCATGCTCCTCAAAACCTCCTGATCAGAGGCCTTGCTGTTGGGCATATTTTATTGTCTTACCCAGGACGCGTATGCAGTTTATCGTCATACCCAGGACGCGGATGTAGTTTATCGTCATACCCAGGACGCGGATGCAGTTTATCGTCTTACCCAGGACGGGTATGCAGTTTATCGCCATACCCAGGACGCGGATGCAGTTTATCGTCTTACCCAGGACGGGTATGCAGTTTATCGTCATATCCAGGACGCGGATGCAGTTTATCGTCATACCCAGGACGGTTGAAAATCTGATAGACATTTATGTCAGTGTTCGTCGCTTGTATCGAAATGAACTCATCTATGTAAAATAAAATAAAATAAATTAAAATAAAATAAAATAAAATAAAAACTCGTCAAAAACTGATTAGTAATAAATATATCTTTGGGTAGGCAATTGGACTCATCTACGTAAAATAAAATAAAATGCATAAATATTTCCTATTGATTGATTTGTTTTTATACATTTTTTCAAACTTTTGTAGATAATTTACTGTCGGTATTTTTAAAAAATTGTCAGAGTCCCTTTTAGATAATACTTCTTTAATGAAGTCCTACTAATTAGCCTATAGCTAGGCGAGAAGTGTTGGACTCATACATTTCCCAGGGGTATTAGAATGTGAGTGAATGTAAGAAAACTGACTGGAATTGGAACAGTGCTTTTTGTATTATAATTCCTAGCCGTTATCCGTTGTCCAAACCGCGTATCCAAGCCTACAGCATCTGGTATTCCAACGAGGGTGACCAATTCTAGGTACTGACCAAGCTCAACGTGATATGATCGTAAGCTAAAATTTACTCATCTAACATATTTATTACAATCGGAATATTGTGAATGTTACCAACTCTAACATTCTACATTCCACATAGTTGCCATCGGGACAGTAACACTTCAGCCATCAGTGTACGAACGTTTAAATACCTTCTTTCTATATTGACTAGCCAAATATTGTTACAATATGACTGGAGTATTTACATTCATTGGCTGTCTTCCACAGATATTTGGATTATCATTCATTACGAAGTTTTACAGCAATGAAGAAAAGGTCAGATTTCTGGGAGAGCGAAATAGACACATGAAGTAGTTCTTTATTTAGAAAGAAAAAAAAATTAGGATGGAATAATTAATTTATGTGAAAGACGTCCCAAAATAATAAAATCAAATCTATTCATATATCTTTCAATGAATAAAAAGCGGAATTTTTATTCTTATTTTTACACGAGCAACCATACCCATCTGGTCGAACAGAAAAAGCATTCAATTAGAATGGAGCAAAAACAGCATCATGTTTAGATGTAACAGAGTCTATCTTCTTCAATTACTTTAAAGGACTTTCATAAAAAAAATATTTCGATTTAATGCAGTTACAGATATAACAGAAGTAGTCTGTATTTATTCAGTCGAAGTAGCCGAGGACATGAAGGGGTAAAACAAGCAACATGAAGACCCACTTCAGACCACAATTATTTTAGAATTGTTGAAATTCAATTTATCAGTGCGCTACCAGGGATGTAAAAGAGGATACATTTATAAATCAATTGTTAAGTTTGATGAAAATTGCTTAAGATCAATGAAAAATAAGAAAAAATCCAGTAAAAATCGCCATTTTCTCTATTTAGGCGGGTTTTCACTAAATGGGTGGACTAAAGTAAAATAACTGTTAAACAATGAGTTTATTGCTGGCTACAATTTAGTGAAGTTTGTATTAGATTGCTTGAAAATTGAGGGAGTTTTTAGTTTAAAATTTGTTTTGAAATCGATTTGTGTTGAAATCAATTTTTCGTTTTTCACGGTTTTTCGCTAATCGCTGTGGTGTAGAGATAAAAATGACGTATCGTTGAGCTCGTCATAATGTAAGTAACCTAAATACCGAGTTTAAATGAAATCGGTGAACAAAAATAAATTTATCTATTTTGATTCGCTTTATCGATTATTGATTAATTCAAAATTATCGATTTTTTACACTCAGAACCTATCTCTTACATTGTAAAATGTATATGCTAAGGTTGGTCAAAATCGGTTGGATGGAGCTCGAGTGAAAAGGTATCACGCAGACCAACAGCCAGCTGTTATATTATATATATATATATATATATATATATATATATATATATATATATATATATATATATATATATGTGTGTGTGTGTGTGTGTGTGTGTGTGTGTGTGTGTGAAGGACGTCCCAAAATAATAAAATCAAATTTATTAATATGTCCTTCAATGGACATAAAGTGGAATTGTTATTTTTATTTTTACATAAGAAACCAACATATTTTTTCAGTGACTAAATTTTATGGGTGAAAATCTGACAGGTATTTCAGTGTATTGAAGGAGACACATAAACGTAAAATAAGATAAAATAAAATAAAAAAAAACTCGGCAAAACAGGTCTTTTGCAGGTTAATAAAATATTTCTTTTAAGAATGATTTTCTCAAGAGTAAAGTGCTAACATTAATAATCCAACATGTTTATTACAATAATAAAAAAAAAAATTGTTAATGTTACCAGCTGTACCAGGTTAGTCTCTCAATGAGATAGACACACTTCAGCCATCGGTAGCCGAGCTTCTTTCTATAGTGACTAACCACAACATGTTACAAGTATTTATATTCGTTGGTTGTCATTGGCATATATTCCACTTTTGGATTACCATTCATTTCAGTATTTTACGGAATCTAACAAACGAAAAGTCAATTTTCTTGAAAAGAATAAAAAGCACCTAAAGTAGTTCTACATTTAGAAAGACAAATATTTCTCACTATTTACATTATTCGGACTATTGTCCATATCTTTTCGCCATATAATAGTCCAAATAATATAAATAGTGTACATAATACCTCATCTCAGAAATATAGACAGATACTACCAGTTTACTCTCTGAATGAGATAGACACACTTTAGCCGTCGGTGTCCGAGCGTTTAAATATCTTCCTTCTATAGTGACTAGCCACAATATGTTACCAGTATTTATATTCGTTGGTTGTCATCGGCATATATTCCACTTTTGGATTACCATTCATTTCAGCGTTTTAAGGAATGTAACGAACGAAAAGGCAATTTTCTTG